GTGGACGTCGATCTTCCACAGGAACAGCGTCCGGGCCAGCTTCTCCACCTGGGAACACAGGCCGGGAATTGTGGGAATTCCTGGAATTGTGGGAATGTGGGATAGTGGGATATTGGGATGGGATAATGGGATGGGATAATGGAGACGCGCTCCTTCTGGTGGTGAATGTCGATCTTCCACAGGAACAGCGTCCGGGCCAGCTTCTCCACCTGGGAACACAGGCCGGGGATTGTGGGAATTGTGGGAATTCCCGGGATTGTGGGAATGTGGGATCGTGGGATATTGGGATGGGATATTGGGATGGGATATTGGGATTGTATAATGGAGACGCGCTCCTTCTGGTCGTGGACGTCGATCTTCCACAGGAACAGCGTCCGGGCCAGCTTCTCCACCTGGGAACACAGGCCGGGAATTGTGGGAATTCCTGGGATTTTGGGAATGTGGGATTGTGGGATATTGGGGTTGTGGGATAATGGGATGGGATAATGGAGACGCGCTCCTTCTGGTCGTGGACGTCGATCTTCCACAGGAACAGCGTCCGGGCCAGCTTCTCCACCTGGGAACACAGGCCGGGAATTGTGGGAATTCCTGGAATTGTGGGAATGTGGGATAGTGGGATATTGGGATGGGATAATGGGATGGGATAATGGAGACGCGCTCCTTCTGGTCGTGGACGTCGATCTTCCACAGGAACAGCGTCCGGGCCAGCTTCTCCACCTGGGAACACAGGCCGGGAATTGTGGGAATTCCTGGAATTGTGGGAATGTGGGATCGTGGGATATTGGGATGGGATATTGGGATGGGATATTGGGATGGGATATTGGGATGGGATATTGGGATGGGATAATGGGATTTTATAATGGAGACGCGCTCCTTCTGGTCGCGGACGTCGATCTTCCACAGGAACAGCGTCCGGGCCACCTTCTCCACCTGGGAACACAGACTGGGAATTGTGGGAATTCCCGGGATTTTGGGAAAGTGGGATTGTGGGATTGTAGGATTATGGGATTGTGGGATGGGATAAGGGGATAATGGCATAACGGGATAATGGAATAATGGAGACGCGCTCCTTCTGGTCATGGACGTCGATCTTCCACAGGAACAGCATCTGGGCCAGCTTCTCCACCTGGGATTGTGGGATGGTGGGAATTCCCAGGATAATGGGATTATGGGATGTTGGGATAAGGGGATAAGGGGATAATGGGATGGGATAACGGAGACGCGCTCCTTCTGGTCCTGGGTGTCGATCTTCCAAAGGGATTGGGATGATGGGACAATGGGATTATGGGATTATGGGATGATGGGATGGCGGTATTCCCAGAATTGGTGGGGCCAGGAAAACCCTTTGGGAGTATCCTTGGAAAAGCTGCATGTGCTGTGGATGGGCCTGGGATAAATCCCGGTGCCTCGGAGCTTGCAGGGAATCCGGGAAGGGATTTAGGGAAAGGATTTAGGGAGGGAAAGGGAGGGAAGAAAAGGGAAGGGAGAGGTTAAGAGGAGGAAAAAGAAGGGAAAGGGAAGAAAAGGCAGGAAAAAGAAGGAAAAGGATGGAAAGGGGAAGAAAGGGGAGGAAAAGGAAGGGAAAAAAGGAAAATAAAGGAAGGGAGGGTGAAGAAAGAGCAGGAAATGGAGGAATAAGAAGGAAACAGGAAGGGAAAGAGAGGCAAGGGGGAAAAAAGGAAGGGAAAGGGAAGGAAGGGCAGGAAAAGGAAGGGAAAAGAAGGAAAAATATGGAAGAGGAAGGAAAAGGGATGGAAGGAGAGGTAAGAGGAAAAGGAAGGAGAAGGAAGGAAGGAAAAGGGAAGAAAGGGCAGGAGAAGAAGGAAAAAGGAAAAATAAGGAAAAATAAGGAAAAATAAGGAAGGGGAAGAAAGAGGAGGAAAAGGAAGGATAAGGAAGGAAAGGGAAGAAAAAGCAGGAAAAGAAGGAAAAATAAGGAAGGGAAGGGAGGAAAAGGAAGGAGAAGGAAGGAAAAGGGAAGAAATACCAGGAGAAAAAGGAAAAACAAGGGAAAATAAGGAAAAATAAGGAAAAATAAGGAAAAGGGGGGAAGCGGAATAAAGAGGAGGAAAAGGAAGGATAAGGAAGGAAAGGGAAGAAAAAGCAGGAAAAGAAGGAAAAATAAGGAAGGGAGGGGGAAGAAAGGACAGGAAAAGGAAGGAGAAGGAAGGAAAGGGAAGAAAAAGCGGGAAAAGAAGGAAAAATAAGGAAGGGAGGGGGAAGAAAGGACAGGAAAAGGAAGGAGAAGGAAGGAAAGGGAAGAAAAAGCGGGAAAAGAAGGAAAAATAAGGAAGGGAGGGGGAAGAAAGGACAGGAAAAGGAAGGAAAAGGGAAGAAAGGGTGGGAAAAGGAAGGAAGAAGAAGGAAAAGGGAGGGCAGGAGACCTTTCCCCTGCCAGCCACTCACGTGCCGCGAGAAGTAGTAGAAGCTGAGCATCACCACGAAGATCATGGCGGTCATGGAATACTTGGAGGGGACCAGCACGGACCTGCCGAGGGATCGTCGGGATGACGGAATTCCGGGATTCCCGGTGTCCCCTCCCCGTCCCCGCGTCCCCTTACGAGCTGTGCTGGCCGCGCCGCCGGTCGTACTGGTCGAAGATGGGCTCCCAGGCGGAGAAGTTGACGGCGCCGGTGGCGGCGGTGATGAGCACCATGAGGGTCAGCTTGACCATGTGGCTCACCTGGACCAGCATGACGGTGGCCACCAGGGCCAGCAGGGCGATGTGGCTGTAGTACTTGGGGTGCTCGGCGCAGCCGCCGCCGCGGGGCGGCCCCGAGGTGCCGTTGGTCGCCACCCAGCGGTCGCGACGGCAGGCGAGCTGGGGACGCGAGGGTGGGGTCAGCACGGGGACACCGTGGCCACCAGGGTGACGTAACTGCTCCACAAAGTCACCCCATGGTGGCCCCAATGTCCCACTGGTCACCACCCCACCATCACCATGGCAGCTGAGATGGGGACACAGGGACACAGTGGCCACCGTGGCCACCAGGGTGATGTAACTGCTCCACAGAGCCATCACACGGTGGCCCCAATGTCCCCATTGGTCACCACCCCATCACCAGCTGAGCCGAGATGGGGACACGAAAGTGGGGTCACTGTGGGGACATGGGGACACGGTGGCCACCGTGGCCACCAGGGTGATGTAACTGTTCCACAGAGCCATCACACGGTGGCCCCAATGTCCCCGTTGGTCACCACCCCGTGGTCGCCATGGTAGACGAGCTGGGGACGCGCCCAGCGGGTGCGGTCGATCCAGGTGGAGAAGGCCACCATCTTTTTGGGGAAAGCCTGCGGCCACAAGGAGGATTTGTCACCGCCATGTTCCCGCGGCGCGTCCGCCATGCTCCCGCGGCGTGTCCGCCATGTTCCCGAGGTGCGTCCGCCATGTTCCCGAGGCGCGTCCGCCATGTCCCTGAGGCGCGTCCACCATGTCCCAGAGGCGCGTCCGCCATGTTCCCGCGGCACGTCCGCCACATCCCCATGCCGCGTCCGCCATGTCCCCCGCGAGGCGCATCCGCCATGTCCCCGCGGCGCGTCCCGTCTCACCCTCGGGAAG